CTCACTGATTACACTGTAAGTGATAATCCACCTTAACCAAAATCAAAGTAGACTATCACTCACCCACACCAGATGGAAAACTCTACAGACTGTCGGTTCACACCCCATCACAAGCCAGCAAAACACCCACAAAACAAAGAAAGGTCTGTCACAGCCAAAAAATACACTCCAGACACGCCGCTGGCACATATATATAAAATCCATCTCCATAACGGTCTCCTGAAGTCCAAGCACCCCACAGCTCTCTGCGAGAGCCAGCCGAAGTATAAGCCCATTACACATACTCAAAATGACGTGCACGTGCGCGTGCGCCACACCGAGAGAGGGAGAGAGAGAGACAGACAGACAGACAGAAAAGAGTCAATACACCCCACCGCCTCTGCGAGCGCCAGCAAAAGACCATTACACACTCAGATTGACGTGGAAGTGCGCGCGTGGTGGTACACAGAGAGAGAGAGAGAGAGAGAGAGAGAGAGATCTGAGGATGAAGAAAGAGCGCTAGGACATACACACGGAGAGAGACAGATAAAGAGTGACTTAAAGTTCTCAACGAAGAGAACGCGTGCGAAAGTAAGTCAACGGATCGCGATACCGACGATAATCACAAGGAGAAGGCAGCGTGAAAATCAACAGATCGCGATACCGATGATATAAACACAACGATTAAGAGGAGAAAGAAGGTGAGGAGGAGGAGGAGGAGGAGGAAGATGAGTAGCCGCGGGGAGGTGGGGCGAGAGTCATGTGATTACTGGTTAGGAGGAGGAGGAGGAAATGACGAGGAGGAGAGAGGGAGGAGGAAGATATAATGAGAAGAGCGCAAAATTCTTCATGTGATTAATGATGGGTAAAGGGAGGAGGAGGAAGAAGAAGATTATGCTGATGACAACGACGACCACGATGAATGAATGATTAGCAGGAGGACGACGATTAATGATTGATTAGGAGTAGGAGGAAGATGATGAAGAAGACAACGACAGTGACGAGGAGGAGGAGAGGAGGGAGAAGGAGGAGGAGGAGGAGGGTGGATAAGGATTAATGATTAGCAGGAAGAGGGAGATGAGCAGGAGGAGGAGGCGCAGGCAGAGGACGATAATGACAAGCGCGCGGGCGCGCGCGCGGAAATCATGTAATTAATGATTGATCAGGAGGAGTCGCTCTTTTTTTCTTTTCCCTTTCCTGCTGATGATGGAGCAGCTCCCTTCGTTTCCTTCTTTTTTTTTTTTTTTTTTCCCTCTCTTTCTCTCTCTGTGTTCATCCTCGTCCTCCTCCGACAATTCACCGAACATTCGACGAATTGTCAGGAGGGGACGGAGGGAGGGAGGGAGTGAGGGAGGGAGGGTGGATAGATACGCAAGAGACGTCAAGAGATCGCGATACCGATGACAAGAATCACAAAGGAGAAGCTAGCTATGGAAAGATGGTAGGTGGGTACTTCCTTTTCCTATTCTTCTCTTATAAAAAAATTTAAAAAATTATCCTCATCCTTATACATTACCTTATCGATTTTGTTCGTCTGCGCGGGAACACAAAAGAAGCTCCACCACAACATCCGAGACTGTCCCCATCGTCTGCATGTGGCGGTCTTAACCATGCACTTGCAGACCACGCATCTGGTCGCCTTCACCGTGCAGATGCGGACAACCGGGCTTGCTTCGGTCAATTATAATATACGACCAACAATTTTTATTTTATTTTTCGCTTTAGCCGTCTCAGATAGTTTTACTTGCTTTCCAGGATCAACAAATTTAGTTCATCTAGTCAAACCTTTCTTGTGACACGCATAAATCGAGGGGGAAAAAACAATAAAAAAAATCTTGGGAAGTTTGTTTCAACTGACAAAGCCACAAGTGGGGACTCACACACGCACACTACCAGCCTCAAAGAGGAACTAATGTTCGAAGGGGGGGGAAAAAAAAAAAAAAAAAAAAGTGTACACACAACACAATCATGTGGGCCGTGATGATATTGCATGTAAAAAAAAAAAAAGAAAAAGAAAAAGAAGAAGACATAATCAAGGTCCATCGACATAGAAATCGACGTCCCCAGAGAGAAACACGTCGTCGCATCCAAATAAGTGAAGTACGATGCAGAGAAAATTAGCATAATGGCCCCCGTAAATAATTTATAATTATAGTAATAATAATAATAATAACGGTAATAATAAGAATGGTAATAATAATAATAATAATGACCCCTGGGGCGAGGTCCCACTAGCAAAGAGGACTGGATTGAACACCTGAATCTGGACTTGATTGTCGAAAGGTGCAGAAAGTTGAGATTGAACTGCTTTTCCGCACCTCTGCTTACAAGTTAAAACACGTCCAGATTCAGGATATTTCTCCAACCCTCTTTGCTAGTGGGACCTCACCCCTGCGCAAGGCTGATACATATCAATTACGCAATGATCCAAATAATTACTATTAAAAAAAAGAAAAAAAACGATTCACAAACGCCTAGTCAGAGTAAGGAAATATCCAGCGGCCTGGCGCAGTTGGTAAGGCACGCAAGTGGCATTCAGGAGGTCTTGGGCTCAAACCCCATTGGCCTCATGTACCTTCCTGGGCATGCTTGGCGCCCGCCACCTAGAGATAGCCCGTTGGTCACCCCAATTGGCATTCAAAAGCAGGCTCTGCTGATGTTCATAGGGGGAGGGGTAATTAGGGAGGCACAGCGACTGGCCACTCAGATGATGCTCGGTCCCTCTGCCACCGGCTGTCCCCTGGCCGGTGCCCCCCGTTGGGGGTTCCCTGAAGGCTATCAGGCCACCATAGGCTGAAAAGGCCACCGTTGTCAGATTAGACACAAGATTGAATTTACCTGGGCTGGTTAGTCCGATGATAATACCTCAAGGCCATCGCCCTTTAAAAAAAAAAAAAAAAAAAGTCAGAGTAAGGAAATGAGGTTGCGCTGATTACGCGTATCGCTCCACAACTCACCAAATTTGCAAAATGAGGATGAATCTTCCGCTAGAACATGGAAAGATACATCGCCATATTTCTTGTCTTTTGTGCATGTGGTGAGTTCGTAGAGCGACGGACTATGCACCTGCCGTTTGGTACACAACGCCCGTCGCTCCTACTCAAGTGTCTGGATCCCGATGGTGTGGTCGCGGCGGTCTTCCACTGGGAGTGTAGTCAGGTTCCGGCAACGTGCTCCTGTGGAAGGATCATTAAAAAAAAAAAAA